TATATACAAAATGAATGTTTCAGTTCCTTAAAGTCAACATGAAATGACATTTCAAGCCATTTTACTTCTGTTAAAGGGGCAGTTTTCCTAAAAATGCAAATGGTCATCGATTACTTACCCTCATGTCGTTGCAAAACCCATAAGACTTTCATTTATCTTTGAAACACAAATGAAGATATTTTTAATGATTCAAAACGTTTGTAGAGATAGTAAACGTAATCCATATGAATTGATCCGTTTGATTCAATATTCTGAAGAGATACGATCACTTTATATGGTCACTTTTAATACCGATTTAATTTTGGCCTTTATTTCTATAAAATAACATTGATAAATTTGTAATGACATGAGGGTGTGTAAATAATGAAAATTTTCATTTTTGGGTGAACTATCCCTTTAATGTGATATTTCCATGAGAACAATGAAAAAAGATTTTATGAATTGGGAATTATTTGGAAAAATGGGTGTTTAATACGAATGCTACATGTGGCTGGAAGAAATGGGTTGGAAAATAATAGTAGAGTATATTTATACAAAAGCAAACCCTTTCTCCTTTGTAATAGCATGCACTGCTGATTCATGCACAAGACCAGGGGTCGTATTGAGAAAGTAAATAGGGTCAATTGTGTTTTCATGTTGACTTTAATAGAGAGTTAGATGCAAGGCTGGGTGGTCTAACCTCCGGGTGGTTTGCTCATCCATAACTAGAGAGATGTAGCCCTCGATCAGCGAGAAGGAGAAAAAGCGGATGTGTCCAGAATCCTCGCTCTGCCCCCCGGTCTCTTTTGCTCTGTAATGAAGCGCAGCAGGGATTCTTGTTATTACACAAGCTTCATTAGAGCTCAACTCGGCTGATGCTTTCACAAGGAATAGTGAAAATGGGAGGGGGAGGAGTATGATAAAGGACAACTCTGATCTGATCTTTCCCTCTAACTGTTGGCCTGATGCCACTGTCTGAGTAGTAAACAAGTTCAGCCACTATAAGGAAGAGCAAAATAGTACAAATACACACTGCTCATTTTGTTTCCAGTTTTTTCTCCCCTGTCGTCGCATAATGCACTCCCTACAGCGCGAGCTGTGTGTATTATCATCATTCTCTAATAGATCTGGCAGATGGCTCTCGGTTACTGCCATATGTAAGCCAGGAGGAGAGGCCCTTACCCGCCTGAGTAGAACATGACGTCCATGAGCAGCGTGGCCACCGAGGGCAGCGTGTCGGGGTCCAGGCTGGTAACGCAGAACATGTTACTGGGGCTGGAGAGAGGATGAATGATCGGCCGAGGGACTAAGGAAAAGAAAAAGAGAGTTGATAATGCTAACAAACACTGCTGGTGTGTCAGTCAGGATGTTTCACGAAAGAAAGAGATATATATGGATTTATTGACTCGCAGGAATCCATTTTCACTGAAAATGTGATAGAATTAATGTTGTGAACAGGACATGATCAGCGATTTTTTTATGTAATATTTCCACGTAAGAGCTTAGCACTGTTCTACACTGATGTTTTACCATGAAATCCATTTAGTCTCCGTTATGTACCAAAGGTGCATTAGTGTTGATGGAGATGCTATTTAAAGTCAACATGGCATGCCATTCACAACCAGATTTACTACTGCAATGTAATATTTCTGAGAGAAGGGAACAAAATTTGAAAATAGATTTATGCATCAAGAATTGACTGGATCATAAAAAGTGGCCACTTTCAATCCTAGAAAGCCAGACCTGAATGGGAGTTTGTAGTTAACTTATAATAACAGGACCAGTATTATAAAAGTGTCAAATTGGTTTCATGTTGACTTTAAACACAGAACATACCAGTGAGCACAGAAAAATATTAAAAAGGTCTATGTCTACCCAGTATGTTCAAAGGGCACACCAATAATTGACTCAAATGTGACAGGCAGAGGCTGATGCCTAACCACACCACAGACACTTTTAACAGGTGGTTCAGATCTTATTGCTCAGTGTGATCAATTTAAGTTCAAGTCTTAGCATCATTTTGCTTTTTGCAATGAGTAGGTGAGATATTTTCTTTGAATATGCATGATTTCCAATTCATTAGTCACTACTGCTAAATAACTAGAAGAATAAAGTTCAGTAAATGGTAAAACTACCTGTGCTACAAACCAGCAGGTTTATGATTATGATAATAAATTAAATAATATGATAAACACTAGTTTATGATATATAGAATCAAAACAGATTCTGTTTGTACAGGTAAAATAACTGGAAACAGCTGATACTGGAAATTGGTCGTGCTATGCTTACGTTAAAAATGCGGAGAATATGAGGAGTTTAAACTGATCATTTGATTGACCAGTTTAAAGGGATAGTTCACCCAAAAATAAAAATTCAGTCATTAATTACTCACCATCATATCGTTCTAAACCCGTTAAGACCTTGGTTCATCTTCGGAACACAGATTAAGATATTTTTGATGAAATCCGAGAGCTTTCTGACCCTGCATAGACAGCAATGCAACTGATACATTCAAGGCCTAGAAAGGTAGTAAGGACATGGTTAGAATCGTCCATGTAACATCAGAGGTTCAATGTTGCTGTCTATGGAGGGTCAGAAAGCTCTCGGATTTCATCAAAAATATCTTAATCTGTGTTCCGAAGATGAATGAAGGACTTGTGGGTTTGGAATGACACGAGGACGAGTAATTATTGACAGAATATTAATTTTTGGTTGAACTATCCCTTCAAGTCTCAGCAACATCACTTGTTACTGCAAATGCACAAAATGCCTTGTGTGCCTCGACACACCCTCGGAATAACGACAGATGATTACCCAGTTTAGGCTTGACAAAACCATTGGTGACCCCGGTACTGTTGGCAGCAACTGTTTCTCCATTGACAACCCTCAGGAGAGTGAATTCTGAAGACAGCGTGTGCATGACCATGGGCAGATCCCTCTCTCGAACCTATGGACAGAATCGCATGAGAATTTTTCCATTTAGTAAAAATACTACCAATGAGCTATCGTCAAAAAGATTAAGTAAGCTCAGTTATTCAAAGAGAGAACAAATAATCAAACCATTAAAACTGTTTGCATACAGTGGCAAACCCGGTTAGATAACATACACTCATGATGTACTGTGGTTTCTGAAGTACAGATGAGAAATACCAAGCAAGTTATCAGAATGTGCTACTTCTGAACAGAGTACAGGCACAAATCTTATCAAGCTTATTTTTCTGCATTTCTGGCAGAGATGTTCAGATGTTTCAATATATGAAAACAGTATGAACGTTTAATAGAGCTTACAGAAACACAAACATGCACAAGTAGAAACCCTTAATTTAGACTCCGCTTCTGCCATTTCCTGCAGTAACCAAAACCAGCCGACTCAAACACATCACAAATGAACGTTAATTTGCATTTCAAACACCATTACCAAACCCAGAATACATTACAGTGAAAACAATACATAAGGATGTCTTAAGCAACCAATTAAGATGAAATTCATAGCAGTGAGGCCCTGATGGGTGCACTAAATGAGCGCCACACAGCATTTCAAGGGTAAGTATCCACGGATATACGGCTTCCTTGGATTACTTTATGAGCTTATAAAAGCTCTAGAGAAACATTTTCAAGGTTTACATCGAACCATTACTATCTCGTGAGAAGACTAACAAGAATTCAACAACGGCAAACATTTTACACAAATACAACAACAGTAGAGCTGGGCAATATATCACAGTATATATGTATAATATACTATTTAATTTTTCTGGCAACACAAAAGTAAGCAAATCACAAATAGAACAATTTTAATGTGCTTTTAATTTGGCTATTAGGTTTATGTTGTAATGGTGTCTCTAAATTTAACTTTAGGGACTTGCTTCTTGTGTTCAGTTGGTGAAAATATGGTTTGAATATTTTAACTACATTGTGAATTTATGCTATACATTACTACTTGCATTAAGTAACAATTGTGGTTTGGTTGAAATGATGGTTAAACTTTAATAATAGTAATAATAATAATAATAATAATAAACTGAATACAAATATTGAATATCTGAGGCTGACTCTAGTGAAAAAGAAATATACTAAAATGTATTTGAAATACATTTATTTCATATATATAGTATACTACAAATACCTTTACATATTTATGTTCTTAATCAAAATACCCAGCAATTGTACTTTTAGTATACTAAACTGGTATACTTAAAGCCTGCTTGATTGGACCAACTTTTGTACTTAATGCACATTAATTGTGCGGACGTAGTGCTGAAGTCCAACTAAAGATATACTGAAGTATATTTAACTGCGGTAAAGTTGAACTATTTCAAGTATACTTCAGGTACACTTTAAATATCTGGCTTTTCAATAGTGACATTAAAACATTTTATGCTTAATATTAAAGGGGTCATCGGATGCCCATTTTATCAAGTTGATATGATTCTTTAGGGTCTTAATGAAAAGTCTGTAACATAGTTTGGTTAAAATTTCTCAATGGTAGTGTACAATCCATTTTTACCCTGTCAAAAACAGCTCTTTTCAGAGCAAGCTGTTTTCTTGCATGCCGCTTTAAATGCAAATGAGCTCCGCCCCTCTCTTCCGAGCCACTCTCTGAGAGACGGTAAACTTTAGCCGCATTCATCGTGAAAATTGCTAACTAGCACGTCATTAGGAAAGGCGATTTGTAAAGATTCATTAAAAAAACCTTACACTCACTTCTGGACGTGAAGCTGGATCACGAATGATTCGCGCTAAGATAGACGCATTTACGTAGGTAGATCGGGTGGTGCATTCCCTTCAAAAACAAAAGTAATCCACTGCGTCTTCAGCGGGTCAGATGTCGGGAGTAAATGACGACTGCTATGTTCATTATTACATCCAACAACAAAACACCGAGTAGGGGTGTAACGATTGCATCGATTCCAAACCCTGATGATGCATATGCATCGATCTTGAAACATGGATTTTTGAATCGTCGATTTCGGACAGTAATAGAATTAAAACGCTAAGAATCGAATGAATCGCAATTTCTATAGCGATTAAATGCTTTCAAAATATATACACATTAAATTACTACAAGCACGAATTAATGGAGACCTTGAACAGTGTTCGTGCCTCGCATCTCTCCTTCATGCGCTCCAGTATTTAACGCCTGTGACTTTCACAGGATTGCGCTCGCTCTCCGTTCGTCATTTTTGAGCAGCTGATGTGTGATCTCTCCTTAGTACTCATGGGCAGTAATGCTAAAGTGAAGTAGTTTTACTTTTCTGTAGTTTTTCAATGCCTCTCGGTCATAACGACGACATTGCCTGAGCAGTCGACGGCTGCGTATTTATTGCATGGACAGAGCAAAAATGTAGGCTAAGTGTCTAAAGCATACACACAGTTCCATTGAATGATAAATGTGTTTTAACAATGTCGTTCAACCGAATGTACAAAGGAAACTGTTAAAATAATCACAGCATTAATAACAACGTTGAAATAAGAGCGCGAGGTTTATCTGATAATCAGATGCATGAAAGTAGTGTACTGAAATATAAGTGATCTCGCACTCATAGACTTGCGAGGCTATATCTGCAGCTAATCTGAATAAAAAGCAGAATGAACTGATGAAACGTTAAGACAATAAACAATAAATAAATAAATAACATTTATGAATGATGCAGTGCTAATTGACATTTATTACAGTACAGAAACTATAAAGTATATTTTCTACCTTATTCGGTGCAGAAAATTGATTTTGTAGTATATAAAACAATCATAAAATTGCCATTAGGAAAAAATTATAGATTACAAATGATTGATTATTGTCCAGCAGTGTATTTGATTTCTTATAGCAAATTCAAAGTAATAGATAAGAAAAGAATTCCTTGTAAAAAAAATTAAAATAATATGCATAAAATAATAAATAATAAATAATATTATAATAATATAATATTTATTTTATAATAAATGCATAAAATAAAAAAAACACTGGGTGGATCTTTATCATTATAAGGTGGTTGTGAGAACACACTGCCAACACGCATTTCAGTTAAAAAAATGCATCCGATGATCAGTGTTGGGGAAAGTTACTTTTGAAAGTAATGCATTACAATATTGCGTTACTCCATAAAAACCTAACTAATTACGTTACTTAGTTACTTTTTTTGGAAAGTAATGGGTTATGTTACTTTTGCGTTACTTTTTAAATCTGGACTGGGCTTGCTTGTTTGTTTTTAAAATAATTTTTTTTTTATTTTTGGCAAATATAAAAGCTTTTTCACACTAAAAGAGAAATTAATAAGCCTTAGGCTGAAAGCAAAGTAAATTTACGTCCGTACAGTAGAATGTAGAAGAAGAAATATCAACACACTTCAGCAATAAAAAAAAGACAAATGTTTGTCTAGAGTAATTTTTGCTTATTAGTATGGTTGAACTGGATCATCGAAGGTCAGAAGCAAAGACATTGGTTAATAGAATGGCATTAAATACAAAGAATTTTTCAGTTGTTTAACATTTAATTATTGCAGGTTTGCGTCATATTCTGAGTTGCATTATTTTTATTCATTTTGAGGAATACTGAATCCGTGTTTTTTTTTTTGTGAGTGAGATGAATTAATGCATATTCATATTTATTTTAAAACTACAGTAATATCTTCTGATTTCTCTCAACATGGGGACAGGAGAGCTGTCAATCAATAAATTGAAAAAAATAAAAATAACTTGCGTTACTTATTTGAAAAAGTAACTTGGATATTCTCTTGTAAATTAAAAAGTAATGCGTTATTTTACTAGTTACTTGAAAAAAAGTAATCCCATTAAAAGTAACTCGTGTTACTTGTAATGCATTACCCCCAACACTGCTGATGACCCCTTTAAGAAATGTGCACAAATAGTACTCCAAATAAAGTTACATTATCAATTTGTTATATCAGTAAGTCTCAAGCTATATGTCAGTAAATGTTAATAAATTTGAACTACAGTGGTGTGAAAAGGTTTTTGCCCCCTTCCTGTTTTTTTTTATTTTTTGCATATTTGTCACACTTAAAAGATTCAGATCATCAAACTAATTTTTATATTACACAAAGACCATCGCTCCCACATTGCTGGTTATTTTCATAAACAGGCTCTGGTGACCGTTCCACCACTGATTGGTCATGTGTTCACAAACACACACAAAGTAGAAATGTGCTGAGATGACAGCAACTGGCTGTGGTCATGGTACATGGGTTGGTTAAAGGAAAAGACAAGTGACAAGTTGCTCAGGATATACTGTATGTATAGTTTATGTAATAAGTTTGACCATATAATAGTAATGAGAATGTCATATACCATGTACTTATATGAAAGGACAGTTTCAACTTGTGTAATAGAATGGAGAAGTTGTGAATCTGTATTTTAACCACTAATATGCTTGTTTTTTATATAATCTTTTGCAATAGAATGGCTTGTGTTTGTCATGTATATACTGCGGTTATTTTTCTCATGTTATATTTTTTAATGCGGAAGTAAGCTGTTTTCTGTTAATGACTTCCGGTTTGTTAGCCGCTGTAGGGAAATAACAAGAATAACAGTGTAGTAAATGGTAATACTGTTTGCACAACGAGCCAGTGCGCTCATAATTAAGATGATACATTAAAATAATATGGCAAGACATAAAAGTTTGCAATATCAAGCAGCAAAACACGCAGTTTTGAACAGCTAAAAATAGCTGGAAGCAGATCACACAGGAAGCCAATCACATTAAATTTACAAATGGTCGCGCCTGCTCCTATGGGAAAAATAAGGTGGATAGCATTTTTTTATCCTTATATTGATTTTTAGTTCTTTATGTGTGGATTCATATAATTTCCTACAGTTCAAGTAATGAGGGTTGTCCAAGTAAGTGTAAACTCCAGAATAAGTCAGAGACAATTCTATGCGATGCCATATGAACCAAAAGTGAAGTGAATCACACAAGAGAGAACAAAACTTTTCCCCACAGACTTTATCTAGGTCAGGGGTGTTAAATTAAACTTAAAAGAGGTCCAGTCTCTGTATTTTCTATCCCAGTCCGGGGATAGAACTTTTTTGGAATAGTTATACATTTTTATGTGATCAGCAGTAGTACTTTATAAAAGAATAAAAAAAGTCAAAATAGTCATCAAGGATAAAGCTATTGAGCCAAAGCTGTGGTGTATAAGATTATTTCTCCAAAAACATTAAGATATTTCATCATCAGTTGAGCCAAACTGGATATAAATATTAAAATGTAAGATCAGCTGTTTAATCAGGACTATTAGCATATTGTTTTTACATTTTAGCATGAGCAAAAACCAAATCCCAAGGCTAACTGGTAAATTCAAAGTATCTCTTCTTGTTTTTATACAGTCTGCTTCTTGCCCACCCATGCTAGAAATGATACAATTCAGGGGTGTCCAATCCTGCTCTTGAGGAGAGAAGGTCCTGCAGAGTTTATTTTCAGCCAGCTCCAACTCTCTTGCCTGGATCTTTCTAATAATCTTGAAGACTTTGATTAGCTGCTTCAGGTGTGTTTAATTAGAGTTGGAGCTAAACTCTGCAGGACACTGGCCCTCCAGGAACAGGTTTGGATCAATGCCAGTTAGAACATTGTTTTTGACGAAACGCTAAAAAAATAATAATTCTAACTGTAGTTGAAAAATTTTGTGTAAAGGTTTCATTAATTTTTCACAAACTTGATTTAGTTTAATGGACTGAGTCAAATACATTTGATATTGCTGCATTCTTGGTTCTACAAGGTTTTGAAAAAAAGGATCAAGTTCTTGTATTGCTCAGCACTGCTGTTGTTAAAATAACCAAGTTATGATTATTATT